ATTGAGATGGAGAAAGAAAAAGAGTTTTTTTGTTTACCATCAAATGGCACTTTTTTTCTTATTGATAATCCACACGTGCAAATGAAATTTATCTATGGAATGGTTATTGAGGTGTAAAGAAATCATATTTTCGCACATGTTTGTGAATGAGTTTCTTATTTTATTTTAAACAAGTGACTTATTTCATCCTAATAATAGGAAAGTTATTCAAAAAGTCTTAAACATATTACATTTTTGCCAATTCAGTTTTAACCTTTTCAATTTTGCCAATTGACTCTTAAACCTTTTCACGTTGTGTTAATTAAGTCTATTCGGCCAATTTTAGCAAGAAATCGCTGACGTGGACGCCGGCTGTCCTACATGGCATAGCCGGCGCTGATATGGACAATTTTAATAGCATTTTTCATTTCCTTTTCTTTTCTTTTTTCTTTTTTTCCTTCATTGGATTTGCAATCGACAGGGTCGCCGCCCACAAGAGAGAGCATCGGGCCCTCACCCAAATCCAGGTGAGGGCATCATGACCCTCATCTCACCATCACCATGGCCCCGACAACCCGCCAGCCAAAAGCGCGAAGAAAAACAAAAGAAAAGAAAAAAAATAAAAAAATAAAAAATTCAGAAAATTAAAATAAAATATTGAAAAATTTGTCTGCGTTAATCGTGCAAATATGTTTAGGATTAAATTGAAAAAATTAAATAGTTTAGAACTAAATTGGCCGCCGTACTATTGATTTATGACTTTTAGTCATTTTCCCAAAATAAGGAAAGCATCAAAGAGAGGAGTCATAATTTTATTTTTTTGTAATATGATTACAAATGGGGATTAGGAAGGTCCTAAGCTGCCAATAGAAATATTAAGGAATCATAACTGTGAGATGATAACATGGTAAATATTTAAGAAATTTTCAAAATGCCCTAGTTGGCACTTATAGAAGTGGAGAGTCCAAGAAACCCGTTCTTTACAAGCACAAGGACAGGATATATTAGAACTCCACATGGCAAACAATAAGCGCAATACCTTTGTACTAGTCTATAGTAATATATTTATATAGATTGCCTCCGCCTTTTTCCTCACGCATTGAAATATTAACATCTTGTGGAGCGCTCGACTAGTTTCACTAGCCAGGAAGGATGACTCGAGCACGTACACTGGTGCCGCCATCTCGTGAGTATGTTCGGGCCTCATCGAGCACTTAGATTAATTTTACTACCTAGGCATGTTAATCAGTGCATGTTCATTGGTCGATTTGTTTGCCGATTGGGACCACATGGTTATGGATGTTGGACTGGTGAAAGGGGACAGAGAGAAGGACAGGAAGAGAAGTTATGTGACGAGCTTTTCGGCGTACTTTCTTGATCCACCGATGGACATAACACCTTGAAAGAGTAGACAGCATTGAAGGAGCATCATGTGGTGTTGACCTGAACGAGTGGTCCAGAAACGACCACCACTTATATAATTCTCTCCTTGTTCACTGAACTAGCGCTTGGTAACTCTGCATTTCACCCTCCACATTGTGAAAATTTTAGTGGTTTTAGGGTGCTTCGAGGAGGGTCCCGGGAGATAGAAAACCGGACCGGTCCCTTCTTTTAGCCGTAAATCTTTTGATATTGCTTAAAAGCACAGTAAGGTTGGTTGCATTTGAAGATAACAATTTTTAAGTTTAATAGTCATAACTAATATGTAATAATCAAACTTGTTCTCTCTTTATCTTATCACACTGTGTATCGTCAGCCACTGCCTTTGACCAAAGTGCTTTTGTTATTATCCTTCCATCTATAAAAGTTTGCATTTTTGTTCCTCAATCAGTGAAAGCGTCTTGCATGTGCTCCCGTGTTTGAGTCATTTAAAAGGTCCATAATGCTCAGGGCCTTCACTGTATAAGGCTCACCTCTTCCATAAGTTAAATAAGAGTTTAAAGTGTTTTGAGTCTATATACACTCTTCCATGGCCAACTAAAACACCTCTTTCTTTCCTTGAGGCATGATGCTCTGCAATTGTCACTCTATAGATCTTGTGGATCATGAAGTTTTTGAAGCATGAGAGCATTTTGGTGTAGGTTAATGGTGTCTGAAAATAAGAAACTGTCCCTTCAGAAAGCCGAGAGAAGGGCCATGTTGCGAGACACCATACTTGTCTCAGATGTCCATCGATCTTTACCATAACCCCATTAGTAATCTACCTTTAAGAACGATAATTTGTCTATAGAGTTTCTACCATGAAATTGCTTGCATTAAGTAATTCACCAATAACATAATAAATACCTCAAATCGTCGTCATTGATGGTAGCTATGCATAGTAATTATCCTCAATTTGTACTTATAAATGACAAGTTAGCATTTATCCTTCCCATATAGTAATTTTCCTTGAAGTCTAGTGAGGTTGAATATCCTAGCTTTCGTAACTTTCCAAAAATATCGTAATCAAGCTGAATTTATAGTAAAATTTTTTCCTATTTCTAGAAACTTATAATTACCTTTCCCACACAGTTCGTCAACTTAGAGACCCTATTAGCGAGCAATTGTCCTTACATGTCGTAATTTCCCCTAACCAATAGTAATATTGGCAATCTTGTAGTTAGTAATTTTCCTTAAATATTTGTAAATCACAACTTTTTAAAATCTTATGATGGTTGAAAATTACTTTTTCTCCGTAAATTGTTTGATTGGCTCTCGTGGTTTTATACCCCAAATTGCCACAATTGATTGAGATGTCGAAATTTTTTTAGCTTAGGAATTAGAGGTCTCCAGTTCAAATCCCACCAACTGCGTACGAACTGCTTTGAGTCAGAGTCACTTGTAAAGGCCAAAGACCGAACTTAACCTATACATAGGGCTTACAAAGTGTCCTACGAGGCTTTAGATAGCTAGGTCCCCATATCCATGTCATTAGGTTATGATAAAAAGAATTAACATGGAAAAAATTACTCACGCATTCTAAGGAAAATATTTCTTGCATGAACTAGAATACACTCACACAACGTTCCCATACATCCAATGTAGTAATGAATTCAAAGATGCTATAATCACTTTTAACCTCATTCTAAGTTCGGACCTCATTGAAGCAGTTTGCACCTTTTAATGTATTGAAAAAACTTGTATACGATGTTCATATGATGACAAAACCGAATGTAGTTTTAATTTCTTATGCTTCTTTTCGTTCATTTACGAGTTCTCCCTTCTTTAATGCATTTGCCTGATGGGTTTAAAGAAATTCTTTCACTAATACTTATGGATTTCTGCATTTAAGAAATTCACGACCCTATTAACTTTCGTATAATGAGAAGTGTCTTTCTATAACACGTAGTATCTGAATCTTTTGATTCAGCTAATCTCTACAGATGCATGCAAAACGCCTCATCCTGTATTGATCAAAAAACCGCGGACAAGATGACAAAACTGGACCCCAAAGTAATTCAAAATGGGGATGTTGTGATATGGACAAAGCATATGACACATCCTCGAGTTATACACACACACACACACAATCTTGAGTTATGATTAGGTTTTGCACGTTTAAGCCGTAATTAATTGATATCGTTTACTTATTCTAGGTACACTAACTTATCCATTCACATCTCAATATGTTAAAATAATTAGACAGTGGGAATGCCTTTTGATAATCACCACCATGTTTCCTTCCTTTTGGGTCTTCATTATTATAGTTAAAGAAAGTCGCCAAATGTATAGCCATTGCTAGAGTAGGCCTTTTGAAATTTAATATTATAGAAATTGCAAAAATTATACGAACATCATTCTTCAAGATCATTGCAAAGTAATTAATGAATATTCAAAGATTAATTACTCGTGCATCGACTGATAATACAAATGTGAACCATGACGGCTTATATGGTGAGTATCAAACAAAAGTAATCAATAGCTTATGCTTATCTTATGGAGTAGATATCGGGTGTTCTCAACAACCGTTTTCTACATATGATAAAGATAACGAGACCCGCATCAACAATGACATCGACGGTCCAAATGACTTCTAGACTAACAAAACTATATACAGATTGCAGTAAAAATGTAATTCATATTTCACCTCTATCTTTCGATTGACGTATTTAATTTCCTCCTCATATTTTTTCGTCTCTAAAGATCAGGATCGTTGAGGACCCAGCCATTAATGCTTTCAATGAATCTGAGAGATATTTTTATTATTTTTATCAGCTTTTTTAGGTACTGTGAATATTTTTTTTGCTAGGTACTATGAATACTTGGGACTAAAGGCATCGAAGGTGTGCATTAAATTCTCCTCAACAGACTCAACCGATGAGACCATGTCGCGACAGCGACAGAGAGACCGAACTTGGTTTCAGAAAAAAACCTCGTCCATGAAGTAAACCTAGGTCGCCGGATTGCTGCTCCTGCACTTCTTCCATTATCGCACCACAATAAGGTTTTCTCATTAATTTACACCCACCAAATTATTTTGTTGAAAAAAGAGAGGGCCGTATCAATAAATGCCTCAAAACCTTCCTTAAGTATAATATAATGTAAGCAAAATGTTCGATTTTTAAGGCATGATAGTTAATACATGTATAGAATCTCGACACGTACCTAGATTAATTTTGTTTTTCGAAAATCTATGACATGCAAAGTTGTGGTCACTCGAATACTTAAAAGAGGACTTGTAGACAAGATAGCGAATGGTATTTGCATAGGCAATTTGGTCTTTGCTGCTCTAACCTTGTTGGCCCGTAAGCCAGTTTTGACCAAAAGAAAAAGAAAAGTCTTCTGGAATTATTACATTTTTTAGTCAATTTTTTTTTGGTCTTGTTTTTTAGTCAAACGAAATAGTCACACGCTCTCATCGTTCACGCGTTAGAATGATTTTTTTTTTGGTCAAACATTAGAGTGAGATTAACGAAGTTGTAATTGTTCTCTTTTGCTTATTGATTATTCCAATCGATCTACTTTGTGTTAATTAGTTGTTAAATTTAAGTTACTAAAATGAATTAATGCCTCATGATTTTAGAAGAGTAAAATTGAGTTAATTTGAGAGGATTATTGAATAATTCCGCTATTTTTACCCATTACATCACAATTTCTTATCCACTAACTCGAAATCAACCCAAGCTGCCCACACAAAACCTAGTGATCATTCTTTCAAAGAAAAAAAACACTGAAATGATCAAAACAGACATAAGATGACACACTGAAAACAAAAGGGTAATCTTGAACATAGTATGTGGTGTTTGTACCGAGGTTGCTCGTCTCTCACTAAGACATGACATCCTTGAGGAGCTTGTACCTGCGCGTCGCCGTGCGAGGCGACGGCGCGCCGCCCGGGTTCCTCACGGTTCCCTTCTCGACGGGGGCGGGGGCGTCGTCCCGATGTTGCTGCTTTATCTTCTCGCCGCCGGAGTACTCTGATTTCGTGACCCCGCTGTCGTTCCCAGCCGCCACTTTCCGAGAAGAGCTGCCGCGGTGTCTTGACGAGCTCCTGAGCTCGCTTTGGCACCAGTCGCACTGCTCGATCGGCTCCGATGACTCGCTACAGTAGTTACTGCAATACCTGCAATACATAGCAGCTGTAGATCAGAAATTTCATCAATCATAATCCTCAAATAATGGGTATCTTTTTGTGGATTCGATATCAATAAAACAAAAAGATCTTCTTTTGCCAACATGAATAACTCAATATACGATCTTGAGCATCATTCGAGAAAAAAAAATCAACTGCTTGCTTTCAATCAATATCAAGCAAAAGCGAATATTTTCTTGCTGTTCATATTGGTATATTTAATAAGTGAGGCGACTGGGCGGTCCAAGTAGACATGAGGACCGAGGCGGCAGGCCGCGGGTGGCGGCGGCGGGTGGTGGTTTGGAACGACGAGAGAGCAAAGAATTCAGTTACAAGTAGCCATCCAATATGGAACGAAGAAACAGATGAGGATGTTGACGTCTGTGGGCGTGAAATCATTCTGGATTACACACAGTGCATGTAAATGAAGCAGACAACATTCATGAGAGAGAGAGAGAGAGAGAAAGAGATCCGTACGAGTGCTGGTAGCGGTTGCAGCACCGGCTGCAGCGGAAGAGCTTCTCCGGGAAGCCGACGTCGCCGCACATGCAGCACACCGCCGGATGATCCACCATTTCTTGATTTCTCAGAAAGAGAGAGAGAGAGGGAGGAAGGGAGGCAGGCAGAGAGTATTATTTGAGTATGAAGATGGCGATGGGAAACGATAGAAAGCAAGAAAACCCAAGAATGATATGAAACAGAGAAGTCCAAATGAGACGTCACATATACATACATACGTATATGTAAATATATATGTATATATATGCACAGAGAAAGAAAGAGAGAGGGGTTCGGGTCGGTGGTGCTAATTCCAACATACGGTTAAAGAAGTTATTTTTATGGAAGTGATCTAGAAGAGAATAGATATATAATATGACCCGGAAAAGTGACCCCTGGTCGCTTGCAGTGCTGTTTTTCACTAACTTATATAGACTAAATCTTTTTATTCTTCGTAGATTCATTTACTAAATCCCAATGATAAAGTAAGTTTCAAAAAGCAGTGTGATCTGCACAGTTGAGCACGGAATGATCACAGATTCCACCATCATATTCTTTTTATAATCCGATTGGTCTGTGTCCATTCCATCACCTTTTCAAATTGAATTCTTATAGTAAGTTCTCACAGGAGGAAAGTACCAAAAAAAAGTCATAAGTATAATGTATTGAAATCTTTTAATTTGACAAATTTAGTTCTAAACTTTATCATATTTTGCCAATTAAATCCATCCGACCAACTTTGACTAGAAATCACCAACGTGGTTGCCGGCCATCTTACGTGGCACGGTTGGCGCTGACGCGGACATTTTATAGTACTATTTTAATAATTTTTTGAATTTTTTTTACTTTTCTTTTAGGGATATTTACACTCGAAGTATTTAAACTTGTCATAAAAGTGCAATTGAGTCTTAAAACTTTCAAAAAGTGCAATCGAATCCTAAAACTTATTACGAATGTACAATTGAGTTCTGAAACTTTCAAAAAGTGCAATCAAATCCTAAAATTTGTTACAAAAGTACAATTGAATACTAAAACTTTCAAAATGTGCAATCAATAGAAGGAATTGATCGGACAAATTTGATAAGTTTTAGAACTTGATTGCACTTTTTAAGGTTTTAGAACTCGATTACACTTTTGGGATAAGTTTTGAGACTTAATTGCACTTTTTAAAAGGTTTAAAACTTCATAAGTTTTAGGACTTCCAATGCACTTATCCCTATATTTATTATTTTTTTCCTTTTTTTTCTCTTTTCAGGATGGCCGGCAACCACAACAAGGCCGCAAGGGCCTTTGCCCAAGGCCTTCGTGGACCTGCCGACCGCGGACAAGGTAGCCCTCTACAGATCTGGGTGAGGCCCAAGGCCATCGTCAAATAATGGAGTAGTTTTGGCAATAATGAACAAGGACAGACTCTGACACCGACAATATTTTGGGAAATTGCTATTGTCAGAGAAACGTTGGGAGCCGCTCTGACAATTTTTGTCGACGACCTACTGCTGGCAATGGTAGAACCAACGGCTACTTGACGATTTCGATGGGCAATGGTATTTGAAGATGGCTAGCTATATATTGAGTCCAAGAGAAATAATTAGGTTGGAAGAAAAACGAACAGGATGAGTTGTGTATTTTGATTCTTCTTCTTTGCTCTATTTTGTTGTTAGTTGTTGTTTACTCCCGATGTTAATGTCTAGGTCATGCAAATGTTTGTAATCAGTGACAAGAGCAAATGTACAAGTGTGATAGCAGTACTTGAGTCCTGATAGTGTGATCTATAGGAAAGGCAATACTTGCGGATTGTAGGTTGTCTTGAAAATAACTAGTGGATTCCAGCCTTATTGTGGCTAGTAGTATTAAGAGTGGATGTAGGTTTGAGTATAAAGTCGAACCACTATATATATGCTTGCGATATCTACTATCTCTTCCCTATTAGCTTCACCTGTTCGTAATAATCACTATTTGTTAAATAGCAGCACAAGCACTTGATTTCTATAATATGTTTCTGCCGATGTTTGAAGTTGAACTTGTTATTTTTCATAAATATTTTTCATAATTCTCAAACAACCTATTCACCCCCTCTAGATTGTATTGTTAGCTCCAACACTTCCCATAGGTAATTGTCACATTTGATAATGTATTGATGTAGTTATCATTGTACCTCGTATATGTCGAACCATTTACATCGTTGTCTTGATGCTTATGTCATAGTTGGCCTTTGCATTTTAATCGCGAGTCACAAACGAGGTTGACTCGCGATTTTCTCTTTTCACCTCGTGTGCTCACATTCACGACTTTGATCGTGAATTTAGACTTATAATAGACCCATTTCATCTACGAGATGGTTGTGGTCAGAGGATAATTTGAATAGAGGCTGGAGATCATATTTCTATGTATTTTATTAACAATTTGGAATTCTTTTATCAAATAACAACGAACCATACTTCTAATTGTTCGGGTTCGAGTTGAATTAGATCCGATCAACTCATCATGTACCCTTGTAAAGTCCGAAACCTGCGTAGAAATAGCATGTTAGTACCATTTAAAAAGAAAATTGTCCAAAAAGTCATAAATTTAATATATGGCGGCCAACTAAGTCCTAAACCTTTCAATTGTGTCAATTTAGTGATAAACATTTTGACAATTTTTTAATGTAGTCCTTTCAGCCAATTATCCAAATAATGGGTATAGTACTAAATTTGTAAAACTTCAAAGGATTATAACTAAATTGACACAATTGAAATGTTTAAGATCAAATTGGCAAATCATCAAAAAGTTTATGACTAAATTGGTACAATTGAAAGGTTTATGACTAAATTGGTACAATAGATTTAAGACTTTTTGGACAATTATACCACCATTTAAAAGAACCATTTTTTGCCCAAAAAACATAAAAAGTGAATCCCACGGAGAGTTGGTACTAATTAAACTTTTGTGATGATTAACTTTAATCTGGGTCAAACCCTTGGATCTTCCAATAATATTTCAATCATCTTCGCCCCAATAAGCAATGGGGATGATGATGATAGCGTTGGACTAAGGCTGTCTATTTCCTCTAACGAAAGTCAATTTTGAGAATGAAAAGGCATGGCATAAAAATATTCTCGAAATGATTCCCGTATCTATTTGTTTAGTTTAATAATGCCACACTAATTAATCTTTCTCTAGATGTCCTTAAGTACACTAGAAATGCTTACCCTCCATCAGTTAACATCAGTTAAGTTTGAGTGCATGTTTATGTGAACGAATATAGAGAAATTTCCACTTTTATCTAATAAACCGCATGGTAGGTACACGTTAAATCTTGAATTCGAAAAAAGATACATTTAATCTGCCCACCAAACTTCCATTTGGTTAAGATGGTCAGTCTTCTTTAAATTTTTTCATTGGTATGTGCCATGCATGTCAATTTGAAAAGAGGAAGTGCAATTTCTCCTTAAAAATTATTCGAAAGGGCTGTTTTGCCCTCAATTTAAAGAAATATTCGACAAGGCAAAATTATTAGTTTAGAATCGAAAATATGCAAAACTTCTTAGCCGTTTGCAAAATGACCATTAATTGTTTAATGTGGCTAATTTCATAATTATATAGTTTCTTGACTCTTTGAGCAAAAAAAAAAAAATTCTTTTCCACAAGGATGATTGATGGGGCTTCTAGTTGGGAACTATGAGGAATGTTGAGCAACTATTTCATACTTTAGAAAAAATTTACTTTGGTATAGCTGAAGTGATTTCAATCGAGTGTTGTGTCTACTACTATTTTGGTAACATTGAATATCCATTGAAAACTTACACACTATTGACTTATCACAAGAGATTATTAAGGAAAGAAACGTAATGTATATATTATCCTAAAATAAAGAGATATTGAATTAATTGAAAAAAATCAAGAGCTATTGTCCTATTTAAAAGATTATTAAGCTAGTAACAAATTAGCTAAAGAGTTAAAAGTTGTTTACTATCTGTTTTGTGAAATGCAACATATTTTCATTTCTCCAATAGTTTTACCTTTTAATTGAAACTTCGGCTTTGTTTGTTTCACGGAAAAAAAATTTCAATAACATATTTTTCAACGTTTGGTTCGCTTAGAAAACTAAGTCAACGGAAAATATTTTCCTAATCAATAAAAATTTATGCTTAAATTCAGGAAAATAATTTCCTCTTTAAAAAGTCGCAAATCATTTTCCAAAATATGATTTTGCATCGGTGCTTGCACAGAAACCTCAACACTAGTTTCTGGATCCATCGAAGCCCGGCCCAGGACCCCAGTGCTCGTGCCCCAAAGCTTGACGCCTGCGCCTAGGTCCATCAAGGCCAAGCCTGGGACCTTAGTGCCTGGGAGCCCGGTACCTGTGCTCAGGTACACCAAGGCCGAGCTCGAAGCCTCAGTGCCTATGCCCGATGCCTTGGAACCCAAGCCCGGGTGCACAAAGGCTGTGCCCAGTAGAGGTGAATGGTTCCAGGTTTCGTACAGGTTCCACTTGGAACCTGGAACCTACTCATTGGAACAAGTTCCTCATTTTTTTGGAACATGCATACTCTGAAACTTACCATGTCACAGGTTCTAGGGACAGTTCCATGGTCTACCCTGGTTCCATCTGTATTATTAATTTGAATAGTTGTAGTAAATCATCACATTTAATAATCACAACTTGCTGCTATAATCCACTAACATAACTTATATTAGACACAAAAAAAATATAAAACATTAACAAATTAAAATTCTTAGTCATAAAATGTAAGCTTATACCAGTGGTTCCAAATTATACACTCGTCATCTGACACCAAGAATTACCGTAGGATCACGCGAAGACATAAACCAAGAAAAACATAAAATCTTGTTCCAAGTTCCAGATTCTAGATTCCACCTGTTGGGAAAATTACCAATGTGGTGATTGTTGGGCAAATCCCCTATGTTGTTTTGAAGATGACAAAGACAATCAAAGGCTATTAATATGTGTATTAGTTGAGTATTACCGGGTGATATATGCAAAAGTCGAAATGCAAATGTTTATCACAAACAGCTCCAAAATGTTATGATATGAGGAGTGCTCTGCCACTGTCAATATGCTCTGCTGATATCTAAGGTGAACAAGATATTGAGTAATTAAAGATATCTACAAGTTGGAAAGATCTTCAAATATGGTGAACATCTAGAAGGACCTTGATTGAGGGTGAACAAGCCGAGACGAACAGGAATGTTCGTGAGAGCTTGGA